GAGACCACTGTGTGTGGTGGGGAGGGTTGGGTCGAGAAAAAAGAGACGGTTGTAATGCTTGGTTGTGTTGAAAGAGGGCAGAGTATCGTAAGTTATTTTTTCTTCCTTAAATACTGATCGTGGTCGGTGGCTTTCAGTTTTTCTACAAAATCTTAGCATACATTATTAATTATGCCTTTGCCATTGATTTTAAACCTGACATTAAGTTTTATTACTTTTTAAATTATGCACACTTTACAATTTATTATTTGTATAGGTTGTTGAATACAAAAAAAACAGATCATTTATATTTAACATTGGTTTATTAACGTCATGTGCATGTAACAACATTGCGTCTTTGTCAAAAACCCTATCGTAATTATTATTAAACATATACAATTAAAGATTTAAAAGCATTATAATGTGCACTATATATTAATTTTAGTGGCAAAAGGCATTGCGTATACGTTTAGCATTAAGTACGCATAATAATGTTGCCAAAAGACACTGTCAGGACGGTTCCCCAAAATGTGAGTCACCACTAGCAAATCCAGCATTACTGCTAAGTGAGGGGTTCCCTAATTTCCCCACCACTTAGACTATGCCTAGAGATGGGCAACTGCGCAGGTTGCGCAGGCATTTTTGAGAGACTGCACAGTGTAATTTTTATAATTCAAGCCAGCTGGCATAATTCTGGTCAGCTTTATAATGCAAGCTTGAATTAACCAATCGGAAAATCATTCCGGATCAGCCCTAAAGAAACTAAGGTCCTAGCGTCGCCAACTTAAAAAATTTCGCTAAAAAAACTTTCGCAGTTAAATTAAGGTTAGGTTTTGCTATTAAGTTAGGTTAAAGAAAGTTTTCCTAATATCAAAATTTCGCAAGGAAAACTTTTTGTTAATGCGCAGAAAGCAGTTTCATAGGTAAAATGTTGAGTTATGAACGATTTTTTGGGTTGTTTTGATTTTTTGCGTTTTTTCGTGTTACACCGGATCTTGAATTCTGATTGGCTGGCGAAATAGTAGCGAAATTTTTTAGGGTGGTGATGCTAGGGGGTTAAAGAAACGAAGGATTCATATCACCTGATTCGTACATAATTCTGGTCAAACTTTCAAAATGATCTGCAAATATGACCGGAATTATTAACGCTTGGTTCCTCTTCCAAGTCACGCAAAAAGATCCTTCATAAATTCTGATTATTTTAACGAAGTTTTCACGGCAATCACTTAATCAATTTCTAGAAAAAATTGTTGATTCAAATAAAAAAATTTCATTGAAATTTATCAGGCAGTTGTCGAGAAACCTTCAAAGATTTGGAGAAATTTATCCCGTATATTGAGATGGTACGCCTAAATTTTTTTTTAAAGTTTGAACGAAGCTTTCTTGACAACTATCTGATTAATTTTGATAAAAATTTTTTATTCGAATTCTACAGACTTATAGCAGCCAAATAAAAAGAATTCTTCGAAATTGATCAGATGGTTGGTGAGAAAACTTCAAAGATTTAAAAAAAATTCGTCTATAAAGAAGTCCGCCTAAATTTTTAAAATTTTAAATTAAGTTTTCTCGGAAACCGCCTGATCAATTTCGATGAAAATTTTTTATTTGAATTTTACAATCTTGAATTTAAAGAAAAAATATTTAATCGAAATTTATCAGGTGGTTGTCGAGAAAGCTTCGCTTAAAGGTTTGAAAAGGTTCGCCTAAATTTTTTAAACTTTGAGCTAAGGTTTCCTTGACAAATTTCCATGAAACTTTTTTTTATCTGAATTCTACAAACTAGTAAAATTCGAATTAAAAAATTTTTATCGAAATTTGTCAGGTGGTTGTTGAGAAAACTTTGTTAAAAGGTTTAAAAAATAGTCAAAATTTATGTGAAGTAGCTACAAGTGAAAAAAATGAAAAACTCGAAAACTGATATTTAAACTGCCTTGAAGCACTAATAAAAAATAATGGGAGCATAACTTTATACATACCAAAGTAGATGTTTTATATATATACGTAATAATGAACCCTAGATTCGAGGGATCGGGGCAGTAGATTCAAGAAATCTTCAATTTGCCATCCCTAACTATGCCACTCTTCACCAATAAATTATAAGATCAGGAATAACATAAATTTCGAAGTTTTTTAAAAACTTCCCGTGTTTTAATAAAAAGAAATTCCTTGCAAATTTTAGTATAGTTTGTGTTCTATTAGACCTTTATACTATTTTAATGATACTTCCGTAATTTTATCGAATCGAAATTTCCAAGTCAATTATGCCCAATCAAAAGCAGGAATTCTCTCCATCTAATAAGAAGTGGAGAGAAAATTGATTGAGCGCGCAGTCACATGACAATCCAATTTTTTGAATCCCTGTAGATCACCCACAAAAAATTTCCTAGCAAGTGACTAAGCCACTTTACACTAATTTCTGCGAGATATAGTATTATACATAGTAACCACATAAAATATTCGCGGACATGTGATTTTAAACCAATCACAACACAAGATCAGGTGTAATGTGAAAACAAAACAAACTGCTAGCTTTTTTAAAAATTGTCTATAACTCAAAATTTTGACTACAAAACTGCTTTGCGTGTCTTAGCAAAAAAATTTCTTGCAAAATTTTGTTATATACTCCACCTTTTCTACTATAATCCTAATGCTTACCCTTATCCAAATATCAAAAGTTAATTTTTTGATCAGAAAATATGTTTATGATCTGTGGTTTGTTTTGACCAATGAAATTTTAGCATATATCATTATTAGACTGCAAATTTTATATGATTGCTATGTATAATAATATAATTAATATTGAGTTTAATTTTGACCTCAATATTTACTTCAATACTTAAATCAACATTTATCTTCTTTAGTATAGATAGGCATAATTTTGCCAACTCTTGATCAATCTGACTTACTCAAAAATTATCATCATACACAAGCTTTTGAGTAGCCTGAATAAACTTATCAATTTCAACATTTTTCTTTAATCTAAATGAATCATTAAAAGTAAATTTATATATACGTCTAAGTTATATTACCTCTTATAACTACAAATATATACTTTTTTTTTAATTATTAAGGATATAACTAAAAATGAAATAATCAAATAAATACTATCAAATGAAAGTCAGAAATCTAAATTTAAAATTTCTTATTTTCACCTGGTAGTACTTAAATACAATATAAAAAATTTTTGATATAGTAATATAAACAAGACATTGAATAATAAAAAGACAAAAAAATAGATCTTTAAATTCTAAATATTAAATTAATTATATTTACTTATTTCGAATATTTTTAAAAATATGCCAAACGCATAATTGATAATTTGCATGTGAGAATACTGAAGAAATTGCTGCCATTAGAGCTAATTCCTGATCTGTGATAAAAGTTGCTACCTGTATATTTCTGATTAATTTAGTTAATACTTGACTTAACTACCACATCACCCAATAATAAAATTCATAAGTTTCTGAATAGACAAGTGCAAAGGCCAGGAGATATGTTAAACCAAATTGATCCATAGCACAAATGACAATCAAAAGCATTAAAAACTGATTTGTTTTGTATATCATGTCAATTATTAAAATATTTCTTGCTAC